ACATTCCAAAACATATTAAATTCACAATCCTCATGCCACTCAAAACTATAAAAAGGTTCTACCTGATACTGCACTGCGTCGCCCAGGACAAATAATAAAACACCCCCGTGAAATGACCATTTTTTTAACTCTGTTGAATGGAAGTAATTTTGGAGTTATTTTGATTAAAAAAAGAAATTAAGGTGTGCAATAATTATATGAAATCATAATTATTATTATATATACCAGATATATTAATATCATAAAAACTGTAAAGCGCAAGAAAAATAAAAATAAAAAATAAAATAAAAAGACCATTTTTTAATTTGCGAAAGAGTCAATTTTCCAAAACAGTATGGCAATCCAAACAGGCAACAAGTATAATTATCCGTTAAAAAATCAAGGTTTTTCCAAATAACTCCTCACCAACTATATTTATATTAAGGCCCCTGCAAACTCTATTCATTTTTCATCAAATCGACCTTAGCGACTGTCAAAAATTTAAGTACTTCTAGTTTTTCGATTTAAAAAATGTAAAGATTTTTTAATTGGTCAACAAGTCTACTTTGCATCGGTTGGACAATATTTTTAATATTTTTGATATTTTTGAAGATATTCAATACTAAAAATTTATAAATTTATAAAATATAAAATATTTATTATCGTCAAGAATTTTTCTAAAATTGAAATAGTGCTCCGACCGATGCAAAGTAAACTTGTTTACCAACATAAACATCTTTACATTTTTTAAATCGAACCATTAGAAGTACCTTAATTTTTGTCAGTGCGACGGCTATTTCACGTCCATAAATTGGTTTTGAATATTTTGATTTAGACATTGAATGACATGTGCGTGTGCGTGGGTGGGACCATAAATCAGATAAGAAATATCAATGTATTGTAAATTGATGCGGGTCGCGGGTGATGGTAGTGGAGTATACACACACTAATGATCATTTATTAGTTTATTACACACACAAAGACGATCAGTAATCGCAGGAACGAAATAATTGCCTAAACACAACTCCTTAAAAATGACTCATTTGCAGGGGCCTTAATTAAATGGTTTAGTTTTTGGTGTAATTGACTCAACCGACTTGTTATCTAGAATACGTTTTCACATTCCAGGTATGAACCTTTCATGAGACCTTTACTACTTTGCTCCAGCGACAAGAAATTAACTGGATGATGATCCTTTGAGGAGAGCTATGTCTTTAGTTAATAGTCAAACTAATTAAAACATTTTTCTAACCTTGACAACAAAAAACGTGTGTCCAGTCCAAAAATATATTTATGTTAAAAATATTAATTTCTGTTAGCTGACACAAAATACAAGTGTAAGCCTGTCTTTCAAATGTGAATTTTTTAAATCCTTTCTTCTTACACATTTAGATCATTAAATGAAGCACTTATCAAAATTTCATAATCACATTGTGTAGTATTTAAATTATCATTAGGTGTATAGCTATTTCACTTTTATTGATTGATTTGGAATATGTTGATCTTGTTGTGGGCTACGGATTCCATGATTCGTAGACTGATCATAACATATAGGTATGATCAACAACATACACATAATTAATAAGAGTAACCTTGCACATGATGCAAGTATACCTATGCAAATACTACACGAAGTATTTGAAGACCAACAATTTTTCAACTTCTACTATTACACCAGGAAGACGTTTGAGAAACATACGATCCGATCCAAGACAACAGATCAGGATTCAATTATAAGGGAGAATGGAGTACAGCAGAATCAGTTGAAGCACAGCTTCAGCACCACCACACCACTCACATTGACATAGTTTGTGTATTTCATAGTTTTTGTTTAAGGTAACCATTATTATACTAATTGTTAAAAATCATCTTAACTATTCGTTGGAAATCTACTATCATCTGGATGTTTGACAGTCGGTTTGCAAAAATCTAATGGCCAAATTATATGGCAATACGTGTGGGTTCGTTATAAGTGGTTTCTCAATGGAGTCACTCAAGTTAATCGTACACACACCATCACCACTCACGCATCCTTCATGTACTATTAAAATTGCCTATACTCAACTCCTTGAAATTGGTCTGTATCCAATCCACTTGAGAGGCATGCAGCTAGTGTGTCTTTCACATTAAGGGGCAATACATAGGCATTCGATTATTGTTGTTTTTATTTACTATTATTATTTATTATTATTATAATAAATATATTATTTTTTTTTTTTATTAATTGTTTAAGGCATCAACTGCGAGGTTATTAGCCGGCGTTACATATTTACATTTATATTAATTTCTTACATACTATCTTAATTTCTACTGGTTATCTATATATTTACAAATTTATTTTAACTACATTACAAAAATTTAAATCAGTTGACGCAGTTCTGTTGAGTTGACGAAATTGAAGAGTCTTTTGGTCGTCTCAAGAGTGGGTGCTAGTATCTCGTATAGTGTCTCAGGAAGTTTTAGCTCAATGCGCCTTTCAATGAACTTTCGACATTCGGTAAGTATGTGTTTGACGGTGATGATTGTTCCACACGTCGGGCATGATGGAGGGTCTTCTTTGGCCATGAGATATCCGTGAGTCATGCGAGTGTGGCCTATTCGTAAGCGGACAAGAATTACCTCGTCCCTTCTAGACATTTCAAATGGTTTGGGCCATGGTAGTATAAAGTGTTTAATTTCTCTTAGCTTATTGTTGTCACATTTTGCCCAGACGTTTTGCCATTCATCCATGTCCTTAAAATTGGTTGAGTTTAACAAGTCTCTGTCAGATATGAGGGGACATACTTCAAAAGCGGAGGTACCTGTCGTTTCTTTTGCTTTTAGATCAGCTTCTTCGTTACCTCTTATTCCGACGTGTCCCGGGATATAATAAATATTATATTATTTAATTTTATATTTAATTTAATTTTTAATTTTTAATTTTATTCATATTTTATAGTAAAATACAAATAACAAAAGCTTGTGAAAATTGGTCATATTGAAAAATTTAGTGTATGGTTTGAAAATATAATTTTGGAAATCTAAGTACAATGCGTCTTACTGCTTTGTTCGAAGTATTTCTCTTTCGAAAAAAAAAAAAATATCGAAATAGTATACAGTCATATATAGATAACCTACAAGGCTTGTGTTTATCCGTAAGACCAGTTTTTGAGCAAAGAATCAGGTAACGTCTAGTTCTTTACAAAATTTTGTAATAATGTTTTCCAGTGTTCAGCGAGTAAAACCAAATTCTAGTTTGAAATTTATCGAATTTTATCTAAGACACAAAAGTTTCATCTTTAATTTAATTGCTCAGATTGATAAGTCACTTTATACTTAAACTAGTAAAACTAAAGTATTTACCATAAATAATGTAGTAGGTATGAATAATTTCAATATTTGAATAAGTATATTAGGGAACCTTATTTTTTGTAGAAACTACATTGAGTAATATTACAATGTTAACTGTTCATAATTCGAGAAAGCTATACATTTTTATAAAAAAACTTTATCGATTCATGATGTTGAACTTTTTTTTCATATAGTTAGTACTCTTTAGCGTTTGATAGTTAATGCTGTACAAAATCAAATAATATCTAGTGTTTAATGTTAATTCAAGAGTTGCATATTTGTATTCCCAATTTAAGCATTAGTTTGTAAATTCTTTTATAAGAGACTACAAGTCTTAACATGAAACAAATCGAAGAAATTTTTTTAAGTTATAATTTAATGTTACAACTTGATAATAATTTTTTGTTACAAGTTATTTTGTAATTATATTATATGAAAAATATATTTAAATTTGAATATTTTATATAATAATGTTATTATGAAATATATAAATATTAAAATACTAAGGTAGCGGTGTAGTATACTATTTAGTAGTACCTACCCAGGTTAGGTTAAATGTGTGTGTTATTATATTATGTTATTATATTATTATGTTATTAGTGCTGCTTTGTGCCCGACTTTGGGCGTTTGTGCAGCACGCCCCGTTTTTTAACGAATTTTCGTAGAGGGGGTGCTTCGGAAACGACAGCACTACACCTCGGAACTTTCAACTTTTGACTTATGCAATCTGTTTGTGCGGCAAACCCCGATTTTAAACGAATTTATCAGGGTGAGGGTTATTTTTTTGTCGAATCTTACAGGTCTTATATAAAATCTAAATTGATTAAAAAATATTAATAGAATAAAAAATATCGAATGTGAATAAAAAATATATATTGGATAGAAAATAATAATTGATTAAAAAAATATGTATTTGGTAAATAAATGTATTTGATTCAAAACATTTATATTGTATAATACATCGAATTTGATTGAAAAATAATAGTTGGATAAAAATTTAATTTGATTAAAAAAAAAAATGATTGAATAAAAAAATCCATGTTGGCTAAAAAAATGTATTTGATTAAAAAAATATGTATTGGATAAAAATAGTATTTGATTAAAAAATTATAATTGGAAAAAAATATATATATTGGATTATTTTGGATTTATATTGATATATTATATTAATAAATATTTTTTTTGTAAAAACGCTGTATTTTTAAAAACTTGAAACTATGTAAAAAAAATTTTCAAAAAAATCAATACTTTTTGAAATAATAAGTGGTTTATGATAAAAAAATCACCCTGTATATTGAAATTATTAACTACCGATTAGGTTAATCTTTAATGGATCCATTTGTTACTTTTAAATTAATTATAAATTATGCTTACACACGATTTTGCATTGTGGGTCGTAAAAACTCCAATATGTTGCCGTAAACATATTTGTTTTGTTTTACATTTGCTTGACCTGATTTTGTAACGCATTTTCTTCTATAACTATCCCTGAACGATTTCCATTTTTTTTGTAACTCCTGGACTGTATGAATATTGATTTAATTTTAATATAATGATTCATTAATTATTATTTAAATTAAATAGTTTTTAACTTTTTAATAAGTATTCTTTTTAATTAAATATTCTTTTTATATTATAATATAACCTATTATAATATATATTTTGAAATTATTTGAGTTATTTAATTTAGATATTTGTCGACTGGGACCAGTTTCTCTGCGCTTCATTTTGATTTTCTGATGGGCGTGTCAACAATAGCGAAAATCATACAAGAAACATGCGAAGCGATATGGACACATTTACAACCCATAGAAATGGCTGCTCCAACAGAAGAAGATTGGCTAGGAATATCAGAAGGATTTTACACTAATTCTCAATTCCCGAACTGTGTTGGTGCCGTAGACGGGAAACATATTAGATTACAATGTCCCCCGAATAGCGGTACTTTATATCATAATTACAAACATTTTTTTTCTTTAATACTCATGGCTATTTGTGATGCGAATTACTGCTTCAGAGTTATAGATGTTGGGTCATATGGAAAAGAAAGCGATTGCAACATTTTCAAAAAATCCATATTCGGTAAAAAATTATATAATAATAAAGTTAACTTTCCACAACCTCGTTGTTTGCCAGGAGATGAACAAGGCATACCTCAACCGTTTATTGTGGTTGGAGATGAAGCATTCGCTTTACATACTAATCTTTTACGGCCTTTCCCCGGAAAAAGTCTGAACGATAAAAGGCGTATATTCAATTACCGCCTATCGAGAGCAAGACAAAATATCGAATGTTCATTCGGTATACTTTCTAATAAATGGAGAGTATTTCATACCACTTTATTAGTTGAACCGAATTTCGCGTTTGCAATCACAAAAGCGGCTTGTGTTTTGCACAATTTTGTCAGACGAAGAGATGGGTACAACTCTGAGGATGCTCAGATTTGTAACATGGAAAATATAACACGAAGAAATGGAGTAGGCAATTCCACATCGAATGCAAAAGACGTGAGAGAATATTTTGTTAATTATTTCAACAACCCGGCTCATGAACTAAGTTGGCAAAAAAGAGTGATATGAAATTAATATATTGTGAAAGTGCGTGGTACCTACTTATACATATTATAATATTATATTAAATATCCGCATATTTTAATTTGTAATATTAATTATGACTTATGAGTTATAAGTGTTTACAAATACAGTTTATTAATATTAAACAAAGTCTAATGAATAAATAAAGTTATATTAATTGCTTACTTTTTTTCTTTTTTTCATTTTCATCAATATTGTTTCGAAATTTTCAAAAAACTTTTTGGCTATTTTAGTCCAGCTGACATGTTTAGCGACTTTGTCGTGGTATAATTTTGATTCTAAATAAATCGGTATATATTAATATAATATATATTGTGTAATCATTCCAAATACAATTGAAATAGGTGGAGGTACGTATCATGTACACATATAAGTATCTATTAACCAGTTTTAAGCAAATAACGAAAATAATGAACGTAACTTAGTTAATTAAAATTATAACATTATCTTCATTGGAGAAAAGAGGAAAAGTGGATATCGCTCTGCTGTACAGTACGTTAGAAGTGGGTTACTGTAATGGATGGTATTAAATTTGTATACAATGATATAATATCATTGTATACAAAAAATGATTCTGATCGGAGACGAGTTTTCAGTCTAGGATATTTTATGATATATTAATTATATTATTTTTAAAAAAAATGTAGGTAAAACAAATTCCAAATTAATCAAATTAGATTTATTATGTTACGTGGAACCTTGTATCAAATTTTCAATCCTTAGCTATAAAAGTTAAAAATTTTATACATTTTTAACAACTAAAGAATTTGTAAATTTTCAGTTAAACAAATTTTGTCAAAATTTGAACTTTAAATGGTTATAAAAAACAATTTGTGCATATGAATTTTTATTATTTTCAAACTGCTATTATATTAACTTATGAGGAACCTTGTACTATGAATTTACACATGATAAATAACTCGAAACTTACCTATATTCCATATGCTTTCCTCGTTATAAACTTCAATAATGAAAGCTTCGTTATCGAACATTGTATATGAATTATGAATACGTGAATCATCAATGAAATGTAAAACACAAATGATGAATGAAATCGTAAAATATAAAATAAACGCGACGTTTCGGCGGGTAAAACGCCCAATGTGAATAATAACATTGGAAATACATGGTTTAATTTTAGAGCGTTCGTGCGATCAGACGCCCAAAATTAAACCGGCGCGTTTCAACGTGATCGAACGCGGCAGAACGCGCGCATATTTTATCAGTGTGAATATAACCATAAATAAACGGCTGTTTTATTTTAAGCGATCAAATCGCGTCGTTCGAAACGCGCGGACGCGCGCGTTCGAATCGCCTAGTGTGTAATGCACTTAAAAATCGAAATTGCTTAAAAAGTAATAAATGGATAAAAAAGCTTAAAAAAAACAATTTCAATTTTAAAAAAAGGCGAACAAGGGAAAGGCGAGTTGAAAAAAAAATCTGTTATTTTTATTCATATTAGATTTTTTTATTCAACTCGTAAAATTCACCAAAAGAAAAAAATATTGTTTTTTTAATTGTGTTACTGACTTTTTATAAAAGTACTTTTATTTTATGTTTACATTTAATTAACATTTATTGTCATTCTTAATTTTTCAAATGTTGCATTTTATCAGGAAAAAATACAAAACTATACTTTATGTGTTTCTGTACCTACTTATTGTTATATTTCTAATTGTCTACCTTTCATATTCATCATCATTGAGAATAGTTCACTAAAAAAAATTTAAAGTTTCATTTTCTTAATGTATTGATTTTGAAACATATAACATAACTCAATGTTATTCATCGATTCAAAAATATATCAATAAAATTGCGAACTAATTTTCTTTTGGTGAATTTTACAAGTTGAATAAAAAAATCTAATTATAATAGAATCAAATATAAATAAAAATAAAAAATGATTTTTTATTCAACTCGCTTTTTCCTTATTTGCCTTTTTTTAAAATTGAAATTGTCTTTTTTTTTATTTTTAGCTTTTATTTATAAATATATACATTAGATTTTTTTTTTATCAATCATTATTTTTAAATCAAATTCAATGTTTTAACCAACTATTATTTTTTAATTAAATACATTTTTTTAGCCAATATATAATTATTTAATCAATTATTATTTTCAATCCCATATATATTTTGTATTCAATTAATATTTTTTAATCATTTTAGATTCTTTATAAAACCTGTGAAATTCGCCAAAAAATATAACCCTCACCCTGGAAAATTCGTTGAAAATCTGGGTTGGCTGCACAATTAAATGGCATAATCAAAAGTTGAAAGTTCCGTGGTGGGGGTTCTGTCGTTCCCGTAGCACCCCCAACTTGAAAAATTCGTTAAAAATCGGGGTTCACCGCACAAACGCCCAAATTCGAGCACAAAGTAGCACAAAAAAGGCTCTTACTTTGGTTGAAAAATTCCGAGGGGGGGGGAGGGGGTGCCAGGGATTTGCACCTGATATATTGTTACAATAGCGGTTGAAAAAAAATTCAAAAATACACATGCACAATTCTTTTTTATAAGCATTGTTTTTTTAAGCATTAATACTATAAATTGTGTATTAGTATTAATTTAGGCAAGTATTTATAATTTTATTTCAATGTGAGGAGGAAAAGGCTGATGAAAACATATAAATATACCTTCATACACACTTTTTTAAGCATTGCAAAATATGTAACATTTTTTTTTACAGTCATTTTAAGTTCAAATTTGTACAAAATTACTTATTAACACAAAGAATAATAATGATTTTTATCGTTTTGTTATAATTCAGTTCCAAAACAGACTAATTTTAAGTAAGTACATTTAATATTTTTCAGCATCACTGATAATTAGAGAATAATGTATGAATAATATTAATTGAACTTACCGGCTACCATATTAATAATAAGTAATAACTAATAACACTTTATGTAGAACAGAGCGACATCCACTTATTTGATTTTTTTAACCTTTGTAAATTTTAATTTATATTGAATACAAGAGAACGTAAGCATTTATATTGTTATCGCCACAGTCGAATTAATTTCTTTAGAAAATCTTAAGAAAATAATCATAATTGAATGCAATAACTTAACAGATAGTATCATAAATATACTTATTTTATATTATTTTAACTTCACAAATACTAAAAAAAATTGTTTTCAACTATTTGAAATTTGAATACTATTTTTAAAATGCTTACCAGTTACCAGTTTTGTACTATATTTTAAGTATTGTAAAAATATTCTTCCTTATATTAGATTTGTTTTTATCCGTATTAATTAGGAACAACCTTAATGGTTTTTTTTGTGGAATGTGAATAATTTTGATACATTAATTTAATTATTTTGCATATTTAAAATTGTTTAGTACATTATATTTTGAGTTATACATTTAATTGAAAAACTGATTTTAATAATTATTTGATTATTATATTTTACGGAAAGTCAAGATAGAAATAGAAGGAATACATTAAAATATCTTGCACAAAAATTGTTTAAAACATCATAATTTCCTAAGCACAGTGTCAAATTGTCATTGTAAATAAATTTTTTTATTGTAACCGATGAATTGATGTAATATCTGTGTTTGTATTTTTAATTTCATACAATAGAGCAGAATATTTTTTAATATAGGTATTGATTCAAAAACAAAAATATATTTTTAAAAACAACGTCAAATTATAACAATTTAAAATTGAGAATACTCATAGTCTATAGACTATAGTTGTACATTTTTAAATACACTCGGAATATGTAATTAATTATTCTTATTGCTCATGGTATATAAATAAATAATTTACAGTATTGTATTGTATTTTATAAATTATTGGTTGTTTATACACAGGATGATTTTTCAATCATGCTCACCCCTTTTTTTCCCTTTAAGTATTCAAATTTTGATTTATAGAATTTTTAAGTACCAATAATAGTCTATACCTTAGATCATATTATTAAATTCTGATATTTTTTGTACTATTTAATAAGTGTCTAGTCACTTGGCAAAATATTGAAAATGTTAATTTATCTAAACTTGATGAGTAGTTTCTCTTTTTTGAGTTCGAATATCATTAGCATTTCAAACAAAAAAAAAAAACACTAAAAAAATAGTCATTTAAAAAAGGACCAGACTGAATAATTACAAGAATTATCTGTAGAGTCGTGTATAGAAAAAAAACATTACCATATTGCATTAAATCTGAAAAAATCTGTTTGTCTGCAATAGTCGATGGGTACAGCGAACGCGTGTTAATTAGTTTATAATATTCTTCCTTGAAAAAAAAAACTTTTTATTAGAAAAGTTAAACGCCTAACAAAATAACAAATATTATACGAAGGTAAGTAAGATTTTAATACATAGATATACTCAAAATGGAATTTCAATAAATCTTAAAGTTGTATAAAAAAAATGCAATTGAAATCAGGAACTAAAATTGTGTGCCCGTATCATACATTTTTTGTATCCCCACTTTTATTATTGTGTTTTTTATTTAATAGGATTACAGTCTTTAGACAATATATATAAAAAGGGTATATTAGCAATAAAAACCATTAGTTATTTTTGTTGCAATCAGTCATCATTGAGTACAATATAGGTAAAGTAATGAAATTAATGGAAGGTAAATACTACAGTGAATATAAGTACCTCTTAATAAACAATAGTATAAAAACATAATTTTGTAATATGAATATAATCACTGTGAAGAGATAATTTTAATTTTAAATTTAGATCAAAGGTATGTAATCAAGACTAAATATATTGACGAATATATAGTATAACATTGTGTTTTATGTTTATATAATAGAATCGTTTAATACAGCCAGTCATCGGATTTAAATTGTAAAATGATTGAAATAATTGTTTACCTAAGTGTTGTAATTCTTGTCGTCGTGTGGTGTTACTTCAAATGGAATAACAGGCACTTTGAAAAATTGGCATCTAGAATGCCGGGACCTCCGTCGTACCCGATCGTTGGAATAGGACTTAAATTTATTGGATCGCCAGAACGTAATGAAAATAATATATTGATATATAAAAAAAAAATATACTACCAATATATATTTTTTGATATCCTTCAGAGATCATGAGCAAAGTATTTGATCTTTTAAAAGAATACTATCCAGGGCCATTTAGTTTATGGTTAGGACCATATTTTGGAGTTGCCATCGCTAAACCAGAAGACTTACAAGTAATTACATTTTTACTGCAATAATGAAAATTAATTATTGGTCAAGTGTTATTTAAATTAAACAGTTAATTTTCCTAAAATGTAATATATTCATATTATATTTTTATATCACAATGTACAAAATAAATCTATTTTAAATTTATTTTTTTCACTAGTATAATTATGAAGTTAAATTATATATTATAAAAATTAATTCTTTTTAATATAGAGATGTGCAAGTACCTTTGAAAATAATATATAATTCATTTGAATACTTTTTGACTTAATAACATCTCCACTATTAAAAATTAATAACATAAGAAATGTTATTGCTTTCACTTTTCAGATTGTCTTAAATAGTTCAAAGGCCCTTCACAAAGGCCGAATGTACAACTTTTTCAAGAACTATGCAGGTGAAGGTTTGTTTACTGCGCCTGGTAAGTTGTATACAAAAGTTTAAACTAAATGCATTTGTACAATATTTAAATAAAATCATTCTCAGTGGATATAAAGAGATTTTTTGAATTTGATATTACAATTTAAAATGTCCCAAATCTTTTATAGTTGATAAATGGCGAAGACATCGTCGCATGATCACTCCCGCATTTAATGCAAAACTTTTAGAACAGTTTTTCCCTGTGTTTAACGAAAAAAATAAAATTCTTATCAGGAACGTAACTAAGGAATTAAATAAAACACAAACGTTCGATCTTTGGGAATATATTGCACCAGCTGCTCTTGATACTATTTGTCGTAAGTATAATGATTGGAGATCATTTTCTATAGTTACTAACGGAATTTGTATTTTTAGAAACTACGATGGGTTACAATCTTGACACTCAATCAAACAATAAAGAGTGTGAATTCGGAGGAGCAATAGTACAGTAATATGAAACAATGATTTGTTTCAAGTCCCTTTAAACTCTTTTCTTAATAAATATTTAATTTACATCTTTCATTTGGTATCCGAAATCAATCATGTAAATTTGTTTGTTTAGAGCAACAGATTTAGACGCTATGCGAATTTATAAGCCATGGTTATACCCGGAAATCATGTTTTCAATGTATTTAAGACTCACTGGACAGCAAAATGTTTTCGATACAATGAACAAATTTCCATTACAAGTACGTATTTTTGACTTAAGAATTTCAATGTTTTGGGTTATTCATCATAATACATCGCTATCATGCCCGTCGTGAATGACGTCACGACTTATAACGATGAAATAATTATTTTGATTTTTAGTTTTACTTATTATTTACAAAATACTTTATAGCAGAGGTTCCCACATTTTATATTATACGACCAATTTTGAAATTTTTTAAAATTTGGTGATCTCCAATAATATCAATGATTTTTTTTTATGTTTGATGGATGAGTTGTTTACAATAAAAAATTAATATTAAAAAATATTTATTTTTTGGTGTTATTAGTCATTAAAGATTCTATTTTTTTCCATAAAAATGAAATATTTATCGTACGCGATCTGTCGCGACGGGCCGTGATGTCGTTTATGTATATAATTATAATATGATAATCGCCATGATCAAGGTCAAATTCTGTATTTAATTACAACCGGACCGCTGCCCTCTGCGACAGATAGCGTTCTATGTGTCCGAGCGTTTATTTTCATTTTTGGATGGTACGTATTGATATGTCGATGTAGTTTGTTCAATCGCATACACTCATTTTTAAATATAAATCCACAAATAACACATATTGTGGTCATAGGTTTTCTTTGTCTCCATTCCATGAAAATCCAATTTGCAAAAAATTCAGAACAATATTTTCCATATCTTATAAGGTCTTTTTGTTTCGACTAAGAAGAACTTGTTGAAGGCTCATTATAGTTTAATTTTCTTTTTTCAACTGTTGACACAGATATTGCCTCTGTTTCTTCTTGAATTTGTGTCATTGACTTTTTATTTAACCTTTTGTCCATAGTTGTACAAAAGTACGAAAAATCGAATTTATTGGAGAAAAATTAATATAAAACTCAGTTTATGTATTGTATTTGATAATATGTCATGTGTACTGAAAATAATTAATAGTTTTGAACATAATGCAGGTCACAACTAATTTTTTTCAAAATCATCGTTGTCTTTTCAATAAATATTAATCTGGTTGCGTCGTTTTGATACTGTCACACTAAAGTACTAAACTCGAAATCGTCACACTCACGATAACGACTGACGATAAAATGAATTTGAAAATCAACGAAAAGTATAAGATAATTTAAAAAATGTATCACATAAATATACAAACTGACCCACTTTTGAGTCGCGACACATTGTTTTTAGTTTCTGCTTTATTGTATTATTTTAATTTTAATTATAAGTATGAGTAATGTACAATTGGTTTTTATGCACTAAAGACGCAACACATTCATTTCATCGATTTTTTTTTAAAGTTAATGTTGACGTTCTAAACCACAACTTTTAGATTTTGAAAGCTTTCTACTTACAATATTATTTCCTCGTATTTAATTTTTGATAGATTTGAATTGTTAATATTTTTATTCAGTTATAAAATTTGATAATTTGTATCAAAAATAATTTTTTGTTCTGCCATTTTAAATATACCCAAGACTATTCTTCATTCAAAAAATATACGTAGAAAACAAGAATATCAACAATAGTTGTTTATTAGACGTAGAAGGTCATTTCATGTTTTGTTTTTTATTTAATGCTCTCTTGAAATGGATTTATCAGACTGCTTAACGTAATACAATTTTTGGACGGTTCAATAGAATATACATTAGGAACTAATGGTACTTCAAGGTTAAGATCTAGCAAATTATCTAACAACTTTTTAGGCAATTTATTTAACAAATTTCATTAGCCAAAGCGCATTACGCGTATCTCAGGTAATTCTGTACAACTTTCTTAAATTTACCCTAACATAATCCTTGTTAAAGCCTATTTATGTAAGTGTATTTGACATTTTTAGGTGATCAAGGAAAAGAAAGTAAAATTTGACCAGATAAAAAAAGCTATTAATGCTAAAATAGACATAATCGATAGTGACAATGGTGAGTTATTTGGGACAGTGAATTTAAATCATCATTGTTTACTACTCTAATATATATTTTCAATAACAAATAATAGTATAAGAAATTAAGATTAAAAAAATAACAACCTCCAAGTAAAATTGATTATTGTTTAGAAAACCAATCAAAACTGTTTTTGGACATATTGTTCAAACTGAACATTGACGGTGGAAACTTATCAGAGAAAGATATTAGGGATGAGGTTGTAACAATGATGTTTGGGGTAAATATTTGTTATTTAAAATAATACCTTGTTTATTCTTTTACTGAAAAATAATACGAATAAAATATATAAATTTAATTGCAGGGTAGTGATACAAGTGCAATCATGGTCTGTTTTAGTCTTTTGATGTTAGCCATACATCAAGATATCCAAGTAAAATATATAATACCTAACATACACTAAAAATATTCTTGAAGCTGTTATTGGAATTTTTAAATATTAAATGTTTAAAGTGTTCACTAATGTTAATACGAAACAAATATATTTAAAATTAAAGAACTGGTTCATTAATTAAGTTTTTAATTATGTGGAAGTAAAACAATGTTAGAACTTGATTATTTTGTTGACAAATTTGTTTATATTTTAGAACAATGTATACGATGAAATTTATGAAATATTTGGCAGAAGTGATCAAGAAATATCTATTGAAGACACTGTTAGACTAGTGTACTTAGAAAAAGTGATAAAAGAAACCCTTCGAATGTTCCCCGTGGGCCCAGTGATACTCAGAGAACTTCAAAACGATCTTAAAATATGTGAGTGAATTTAAAAATGTTATACCTGTGTAAAAGATAATATTAAATCAAATGTATTTAAGTTTCAAATGATTACGTACTGCCAAAAGGGACAACGTGTATCTTAAGCCCACTAGCCACACATCATAACCCTGATTTGTACCCAAAGCCTTGGAACTTCGACCCTGAAAGATTTAGCCCAGAAAATATCGAAAAACGTCATAAATATGCCTTTATTCCGTTTAGTGGTGGTCCAAGGGGTTGTATAGGTAAAGTAATATTTTGAGAAATATCAATAATATACAACTTCAATATGTATTTTACATTCTAATAATATCGTTATTCAAATTTAAACGACAGGATCCAAATATGCCATGTTGTCGATGAAAGTCACTTTGTCAACATTCTTGAGACATTTTAGCGTACACACAGACATAAAATTACCAGACATTAAGTTAAAATTAGGTATATTGATGAGAAGTGTTCACGGTTATCCTGTTACAATTCGAACACGAGACAGGAGACCAACATATTATAAGCGAAATCAGAATCAGCAAGGATAATTCGCAACTATTAATTAATAATAATATTATAACCCGTATGTTTTTAATATTTTTTGTGTTTTATATCAGTTATAATCTTCATTATTAGTGTTTAAATTTTGTATAACACATCTAAATTAGTTACTTTATGCTCGATTAAAAAAAAAGTAACTTATTAATTAATAACAATTGAAAAAATCTTGAACGCATTTTATTTCGATTGTTTACTTTTGGTTGCTATTTATTTACATGTTGACATATTTTAACTATTTAATACATTTTATTAATCTTGGACAATTATATTTTATTCAATTTCTAGTGACTAGTGCTTGAATGATGTTTGCTTATGTATTGAATTCACACCTCCAAAATAAAGTTTTATCGATATATTATGATTCTTGTCATAATATTTTAAGATTACATTTTTTGTATTTAGTCAAAATAAATAAATTAATGAGTAATAAGATATAAGTTAAATGTAAATTTAAAATTGTTTGTCAAAAAGTGAAAACTAGTAGGTACCTAAGCTCAACTAGTCTAAAACAGCTAAGCTTATAACGTTATAGCAATTACGTTACAAATGTACACACCCACCATTACCGCTGCCAAGTACCCGTGGTTTGGATGTGACCGACGGGCACTACTTCGCGATTTACGATCCAATTATAATCATGAGAATACCGACCAATCGAAATGATGTTCATAATTACAAAGTCGTTTTCGCGTGTGATGCACGACACGTTCGACGCTGTCACAGATATCTTTTTTTTTCCTTATGTCTCTTCACCGGTCAACACCATGAGCGAGTGAAAACCACCGTTTCACCGAGGGCATCCTGGTGACGGTGCACAGCACCTCACGCGAAAGGTAATACACATATTTATTATGATTCAGATATCCGTAACTACACCTTGACTTTACACCTATTATTATTATATTTCTTAATTATTAGTATTATATACGACGGTAACCTCAGTGGAGCAGCGCCATGATAAACTGTAATAATATATTTATATCATTATTATTGTCTGTTGTTCTCTTCTTTTTTTTTTTATTCTTTTTTTTTTTTTTTGGTGCAAATTTTTTATGCCGTGTGAGCTTTTCTTGCCTATAAATTAACCATTTTTTTTTCTACGTTTAAATTAAAGATACGACAATTCACCCAACAACTGAGTGTTGAATATTCTTTCCTGTTTTTTTTTTTTTAAATTACACATGCTCCGATTTTCGAATTTCGGCTGTAGGTTGACTACCCACAAAATCCAGTTTTGTCAATGTACGCTCCTGATCGAATCTGGACAGGCATCGTGCGAGAATGAAAAAAATTGAGAAGTTGAGTTGATACAAAACGATATACGCCCTTCAACGTAGGCTATAAATTTTAAGTATTAATTTTGAGTTACACGTAAGTTTATTACAGCAACAATATAACAATAATAACAAATATTATTATTATAATAATAATTATAAAGACTATTATCTTTTATATTTTCATATAATCTAGAACGACCTACAACACCTAAGCTGATAAACTTTTCTTAAAAAATGTGTACATTCAAATACCAGTTAATTTTATATTATATTTACATCGTTATATCGTGAGATTTGTATATATTATTATAAAATGATTCTGTTTTTGTGATTTACTTCGTTTGTATATGATATATGTATGTGACTACAGTTGAGAACTTTTGAAAAATAGTGAAAACATTATTAATAAGATCTACAAGAAAAAATAAAACGTTTTAATGCTTGCATACTCNTGTATGTGACTACAGTTGAGAACTTTTGAAAAATAGTGAAAACATTATTAATAAGATCTACAAGAAAAAATAAAACGTTTTAATGCTTGCATACTCTGTTTATTATGTATATTGTCTATAATTTTATGTAGCTGCGTATAAATGTAGTAAATATTTTGATGACATCATATTATCATACCTCTGCGTTGAATCGTAAGTATACGATTTGACTATTATAATTTTTGTAACTGTATTGATTTAGGCGAGCATTTAGAATTTTAATTTAGTGTAAGATTGAGTGAGTTGATGAAAATATAATATACATATACCTTTATACACAGTAAGTTATCATAGGTACCTATTATTATGTTTGCACATATTTAGACAGACACGCGGGGAGCAGCGGACGACAAGACAACTTACAGCGGGTACGATTTAATTAAGACTGTTTATTATAATATGAAACGGCTATCGCAGTATCGCGCGGTCGTCGATACCGATTACATAATAGTATAAATATTAATTAGGTAGGTAACATACATATCATTATTCCTCCTTAAAAATAATAATAATAATCTAATAACATTTTATAATTCAATTACTTTTGCTTTCACATTCTTATTATACTGAAACAACATATTATAATTGTACACATAATAATTACATAATAATTACATAATAATATAATAAATAATAATATAAACACATCAATAATAATTAAAAACTAATACATTATTTTTTTTTTTTTTTAATCACTCTGATGCATTCCTTCGCTTAACATACTAGATTTTAATTTATTTATATGCACCATTTTCACACTTCCATTCATCATCACTAAATACCGGCATCCACTCAGTTCTTTCATAATTTTACCTGGTAACCAATTTTGACCTTTTGCTTGTGGGTTTTTTACTAACACATTTTCATTAATTTCAAAATGTTCCGATTTTCCAATTGCAGAGTGCTCTAAAATAATGTTCCCTCCTATTTTTGGTTTTAATACTGTTAATTGTGTTTTCGGCTTAAAATTTAACATAATTTCTGCTGGACAACAACCTGTGTCAGCTGACGGTGTATTTCGATAAGACAATAATATATCGTCTATTTTCGTTTGCATTCTCGTTATCTCTCTCTCTCATTACACAGTGACTTAATTAATATCTTCTTAATAGTTTGTACCCCTCTCTCCGCCAAACCGTTTGACTCCGGATTATACGGTGGAGAATGTAATAACCTTATACTATTATTAATACAATATGTTTTTAATTCTTTTGAACCAAACGGCGGTCCGTTATCGCACACAAGTATTTCAGGCGAACCAAAAGTACAAAAACAACGGCTTAAAACTCTGATTACCATTGCTGCGGTTGTATTATTTAACGCCCAACATTCAATCCATTTACTTCCACTATCTACTAGAATTAATAACTTAATTTTATTTACGTCCAAAAAATCAATATGTATACGCTGCCATGGTTTTTCTGACTTCGGCCAGGGGACAAAAATTTTATCCTTCTTACTTTTATCGTTTTGATTAAACTGACATTGTGAACAGCATTTTATATACTTTTCAATACAACTATCTATATTTGGCCACCATACATAAGATCGAGCTAACATTTTTGATCGTACTATACCTGGGTGGTTTTTATGTAAAATATTTAACACTTGCAGTCTTAATATATTTGGAACTACAACTCTATTTCCTATAATTAAACATTCCTTTTCAATTGATAACTCGGACCTCCTACGAAAATATGGTTCTAACTCGTTTTTATAATTTTTATGGCCAACCCAACCCGACTTAACCTGCTCACAAACTATTTTTAAAACAGCGTCTTCACTTGTTTGCTTTGCTATTTCGTGAAACGTTAATGGTAACTGTTCAACTAACATTATTGAACCTAAATCTTCATCAATATTTCCCTCTATAGGTAATCTCGATAGCGCATCAGCATTATTTATGTTTGACCCCTTTCTATATTGAAATTCATAATCATAACCCGATAATATTATAGCCCATCTCTGAAGTCTTGACGAAGCATGTACTGGAATATTTTTGTTTTGATTAAATAATGTCT